GCCTCAGCCCAGCCTGCTGAAGCTGCCTCCTCATGGGCCCTGGAGTGGGCTCCCTTCAGAACCTGCCTGTGCTTACCTTCCTCAGCATCTTGTCTTACAAACTGTGCAACGAGAATGTGTCCTTCCCTCCATGCCAGCTTTTCAAATTCCTCTTTGGTGCTCAGATCAAATCCCCTTGCTTTCAAAAAGCCTCCCGGATCACAGGACACAGTCTCCTTCTGTAATGCTCCTTCTCGGCACCTCCCAAGGCCTCTCTCAGTCACCCCCTCATGGTCAGGTTTTGTAGATGTGTCTCATCTTTCCAACAGATCTTACACTGCTGGAGAGAAGAGCACCTCGTATCTTGGAGACACTCAGCGCTTCGTTGCTGAGGGCGATGGGAGAGAGTGAGAGGACATGCCTGGGAGCCCGAAGCTCTGCTTCCTGCCCAAAGGCTTCCCGCAGCTTGGCTTTTGCCACTCCTCACCTCTGCCTCCACGTCCTCCCTCATAATCCGAAGACACTAGTTCCTGCACCACGTTTCCTCCCAGAGAGCCCTGAGATGCGAATGAGGTAATTCAGGTGTATCCAGAAGGAGAAGTGCCCCAGCTCACTCACCAGGAGGAGATGCGCAGGATGTCCTGAGGACAGGACTCAGGAGGCAAACCAGCACCTGCAGGGCGGAGCTGGGGGAGCAAAACCCTGCAGGAGCAAGCGGTAAAGAAGTGGCTCCCTGTGTGCTTCTTGGAAACTAGAGGCGGTTTTCCTGAAATGAATAGGAAACGGTAAGGAATAAACACCCTTGGCTTTTGGCTTTGAAGTTAGCAAAATGATACCCTTTTCAAACAAAAAGGCAAGACTGGCTAAAATCACTTTGTGATGGCAATTCAAGGGCGGCTTAAAATAGCATCTCGCTGCCCTCAAGGCAAGTGCAGCTGTACTGCTCAGGATCACGAGAAGCTCACTTGCTGGCCTCCTCACCAGCAGCTGCTTTTGCTTGGGACTCTGTGTGCACCCCTGGAATGAGCTAGCTGAGAGAAAATCCCGAGGGCCTTGGAGACCCCCTGAATGGAGGGGCCCGGGAGCACCCCATGCAGATAAGGCTGGTCTGGGATGCAGGAGTGTGGCCTCCTTCAGTTTCAGCTTCCCTGGGAGCAATGCAAGCTGCCTCCTGGAGATGCTGAAAGGATCTAATGGTTCATACCAAGCGCCAACGCTGTACATCAAATATAAGTACCGATTAACCCACGATGGTCTGTGGATGCGGAGACCCGGGATTCTTCTAAATGGAACAATCATTGGTTTATTTTAAGTTTCTGGATAAAATTTAAAGTGCGATCTTTGAAACGTCTCATTTCCCTTCAAGGGAGGGAATGCATCCCTTTGGAGAACAGCGGATTGAAATTCAAGTGCCTCTTGCTCTTTTACATCATCTGGAAGATGTCAGGAAAGGGCGTGACGCACTCCCTCCTCAGCCCCAACACATTTGTTCTGGAGGTGACAGGTGCATGGTTTACAGGCTGGGACACCCACGGGGATGTTTGCAGGTGCCCTGGGAATCGGCGTGAGAGCCACATAGCAAGTGACCGTACAGGCTGGGATCAGGAGTGACTCACCTCTGATTTCATCTCGGGAGGGAGCTGACACTCTTGCCAAGCTGTTGGCCAGTGGCCACTGATTTCAGCAGAGGCATCAGCAGGTCGTCTGCGGTGGCTGTGGGCCTTGGCCAGGAATGGGAGGGCCAGACACATGCTAGGACAGTGAAGCGCCAAGGCCAGGTTTGCCCCTGGTGGAATTCTCGTAGGCTTCTTGCTTTCATGGAGCTAAGTTCACAGACACAGCTACCCACAGGCAGAGCACACAGAAAAGCCACAGAAGTCACTCCCCAGGTACACAGACCACCTTCACAGGCACTTGCCCACAGGGCAGACCCACAGATAGCCAGAAACACCCCACAAAAATCCCCAAACCCAAATGCATAGACCCTCACAGATGCCCTACAGGCATCCCATGAATACCTGTACACTCACTTTATAGGAACTCTATACTCACTCCAGAGACACCCTACAGATACCCCACAATCTCCCTCACCAACACAACTCACAAACCACACGCACCACCACATAGACACCCACAAGATCCCCACTGACACCCACACAGACACCTTCACAGGTACCCCCAAACATACCCCAAAACATCTCAAAGTACACCCAACACCCTGGCAGACAGCCCAACACATACTCCACAGATCCCTTTGCATCACTCACCCCAGCTCGTCTCCTCACATCACCCCACAAAACCCACCACAGAACAGATACCCCCTCCAAAGCAACCCACACACCTCCACCACACCCCACATACCCTCACAGTTCCAGGTACACAAACATGCACCTGTACACAAACTCAGACCCCATGTGCGCACATGGAGTCAACTATACAGATCCCCTGCGCACATACACACACAGCCAACCAAATAGATCCACTGTGCACATGCACACACACATCAGCCACATAGATCCCCTGTGCATACACACATCATCACCCATACAGATCCCCTGCGCACATACACACAGCCAACCAGATAGATCTACTGTGCACATGCACACACACACACCCACACAGATCCCCTGTGCGCACACATCAGCCACACAGATCTGTGCACACACACACAGTCACCCACACAAATCCCTGTGCACACACACGCACAGACCCCCTATGTGCACATGCACAATCACCCATGCCAATCCACTGTGCACACATGCACATAGTCACCCACACAGAACCCCTGTGCACACACACACAGACCCCCCTACACACATACACAATCACCCCCCCCACACACACACAGAACCCCTGTGCACACACAGTCACCCACACAGACCCCCTGTTTACACACACAGTCACCCACACAGGTTCCTTGTGCACACACACACAGTCACCCACACAGACCCACTGTGCACATGCACACACCCCCGTATACACACACAGAGTCACCTAGACAGACCCCCTGTGCACACACACACAGTCACCCACACAGATCCCCTGTGCATACACACACACAGACCCCCATGCACACACACACAATCATCCACATAGACACTCTGTGCACACACATGCAGTCACCCATACAGATCCCTTGTGCACACACACACAGTCACCCACACAGACCCACTGTGCACACACACATAGTCACCCACACAGATCCCCTGTGCACACACACACACAGACCCCCATGCACACACACACAGTCACCCACACAGGTTCCTTGTGCACACACACAGTCACCCACACAGATCCCCTGGGCACACACACACACACAGACCCCTTGTACACACCCACACAGATCCCCTGTGCACACACACACTTGCCCACACAGATTTCCTTGCACATAGTCACCCACATAGACTCCCTGTGCACACACACACTCATGTACACACACAGTCACCCACACAGACCCCCTGCGCGTGCACACACACACAGACCCCCTGTGCACACACACACTGTGCACACACAGTCACCCACACAGACCCACTGTGCACACACACAGTCACCCACACAGACCCCTATGCACACACAGGCATTGACACTAGCCTGGCATACCAGTAGCCTCCACCCCTCACCTGGGAATTTCCTACCACCACCCACTCAGACATGCTCCTCTACAGAAACCCTCCTCGTACAGAGGTCTTAATGGAGACCCCACCAAAGCCCTTTCCTCTAAGACGCAGACCCGACACTCACTGGCCTGACAAACCCGGATGAAGACGCAGACACACAGACATCCTGCTCCATTCTACAATTCATCGTTTGAGGCAATCTTCTAGCTATAATCTGGAAAATCAAGACAAGCCATTTATTGCAAACAACTGGGATTGTGGTGCAATACTCTGGTCACAGGGTGACGGAACAAAAAGTGCTTAGGTAGGATCCGGTGATGCATCTCTCAGTGGCTCTCGCTGGTCCATAAGTCCGCGGGGGAACTGGCCGTCTCCTTGCTACGATTTTGAAGGAAGAGGAGTGCAGCTCAAAGACTGAAGCACGATTTCTGGAGAATGTCAGGTCCATTTGTCCCCCAACGGCCTTGTCACAGAACAATCTGCCAGGACCCCTGGAAGGCGGGGGTCCTCGTCCTGCGCTCAGAGACAGCTGTCCTTCTGATGATGGAGCAGAGCTGGGGCCCCTGCCTAGCTCTGCAGCTGGTTTTCCTTACAATCCAAAAGTTTCAAAACAGAAAAGACGTAATGCCTCCAAAAAATTCCTCAAGATTTTCTTAGAAAATAGGTGCTTCCAAAGCGGGCTATAGTATGGTGGGTGTTAGAAGGAGGAGGGGACAGACGTGGGAGATCAAAAAGAGAACCAGGAGGACGCAGAAAGGGATTAGAATGCAGGAAATAGCTCCGGCCAGCTGGTGGCCATCTGGGAGCCACGCAGAACGGGAAAAACCAAGTTGCTGAGTTTCTAGCAAGTGGGTACAGTTTGTCATGAGAGAAGGTTACTGCTTGGAGAAACTACAGAGAAACCAGATTCTTGCCAGCTATTTTCTGTAAAAAAAAAATCTAGTGGTTTCCCTAAGAATCGGATTGCTGTGAATTTGCTTCTGTCTGAGGTAAACTAGCTAAGGACATCATCATTTTAGGAAACGTTAGATAGCATCTGAGGGTGTTGTGGGATAAGACTGTCCGGATGTCAGTGTGAAAACAGACAGTGGGTAAAGACACGCGGTTTTTACCTTATACAGTGATTGTGTAAAGTCTCAAACAGGACCAGAAGGAAGGCCAATGACTGTAAGATAAGAAGTAAATTAATGTGGTTGGTTATTTTTGTTTTGGTAGATATTGAAGGCATATTATATGCGTTTGGCGGTGGCTGTCCAGGAAGAAAAGAAATAAATTGTAAAGTCAATATGCGCACTGTAATATATAAAGACATTCTGCATCCACTCAGTTGTCCTGCGGAGAACCAAAGGACAGCGTGTGTGAAACAAACCTCATAATGTCTTTGCCATCCACCAAATAGCATCTCTTCTCTCTCCCCCAACTCTGTGAATGGCTCCACCACTGCCCTGTGGTCCATGCCAGCTAGGTCATCCTAGCTGCTTATATCCCATATCCAGAGACAGTCGTGTGCTGCTAATCACGGAGATATGTTCTGAGAAATGCATCTTTAGGCAATTTCATCATTGTGCAAACATCATACAGCATACTCACATGAACCTAGATTGCATACGTATTTTTATTTATGTATATTTTTTATGGGAAACCAAGTGTCCCAGCACCATTGCTGAATATCAGTCATTTCCCCTACTTCATCTGCGATGCCATTATCAAATGCCATTTTTCACGTTTCTATATATGCTGCAAAATCTATGAGACCACTGTGGTACATGCTGTCCATCACTGACTGAAGCATCATTATGAGGCACAAGCCTGTACTTAGCCACCGAGTCCTGACAATCCTATCTCTTTAATAGCTCTAGCCCATGCCCTCCCCACCCTGCCCTCCCTCCTCACGGCAACTGCTTCATTCAATCTGTCAGCATCATCACAGCAACAAACTTCTAAATGGTCTCACCAGGCCCAACTTCAAATCCTTGCACATCACTCTTCATATTTTCACTGGGTGGTTTTTGTAAAAAGAGAAAACGAATCCAATCTCATGTTCATTCAGCAAACATTGATTGAGCATCTGCATGTGTGAGGTTTTGTCCTAGGTGCTTGGGTGTCAGTGAACAAAACAGAGACCTCAACCTTCAGACTAGTGGAAGGAGAAAGACAATAAACATAAAGATATCATAATAATTTTGAAGGTGGTAAGTGCTGGGAAAAAATAAAGCAGGGTAAGGGATCAAGAATTCCTGGTGTGCACACATGTGTGTGGAGTTTTCGATAGGGCAGCCAGGCTAGGCCTCACTGAGAAGTTGACATATGACCAAAGGAGGTGAGGGACTGAGCCACCTGAGGATGTGTGGGAAGGGCACTCCTTGCAGACAGAAGAGTCAGAGATACTCCCTAAGGTAAGAACACACGTGAGGGCTTCAAGGAATAGCACATGGACTGGGGTGGCTGGGGCAGGATAGGTGTGGGCTGAGAGTGGAGGGAATGAGATCAGGGAGCTGTGAAGGGGTCAGGTGATATTGGACCTTATGGCGGGCGGTGCCATTGCAGAGTTTTAAGCTGTATACAACTTGCTGTGACTTCTCTATTGGATGATGGCTCTAATGATGCCGCTCTCTCAGACCAGAGGGTAGCAGAGAAGATTGTGAGAGGTGCTGATGTCTCTCTCCCACTCAAAAACCTAAACTCTTCAGTGTGACCCACAAAACCTTTCAGGATTGAGGCTCTGCTTACTTTTCCTGGTTCATCTCTGATGATGCCTTCACATCCCCGTGGCCCCCATGTTCTGGAGCAGGTGGGCATCAAACAAGCATCCCCTTCCCTTATGGCCCCATGGTTTTGCACTGGTTCCCTCCTTTGCCTGACTGTAGTGCCCTTCTGGGCCTCCACTGAGCATCTTCTCCTCAGGGTCTTCTCCTCTCTATACAATGCAGTCTGTATGAAGTCTTGTACATACCTCAGTGACTGAGATTTTATCCCTGAATCAGAACGTTCTGTTCACAACCTGTCTCTCTCACTAGAGTGGGCACTACTATTAATAGAACCTAGAAACTAGAGCTTTTATTTCTGAATCCCTAGTAGACCTTGGACAGTTGGGTGGATGATGGATGGATGAAGGATAGATAGATGAATAGATGGAGGATGAATGGAGGATAGATGAATAATGGTTAGAGGATGCATGGATAGTGGGTGAATAGATGGATGGATGGATGAATGAATCAATGGGGGATGGATGGAGAATAAATGCAAGATAGATAGAGGATGGGTGGGTGGCAGGTCGATGAATGCTGAGTCTTTCATTAGATATTGAATTCAAGGGGTTTTATTTTTAGTTTATAATTAGTTAAGCATTATAAAATGCTCGGAAATGAATTATAAGACATTAACTTCTTCATTACTAGAGAGATGGCTGAATGAGTATGTGCAGGTAACTACTTCTGAGCATACGTACTCATCAACTGCACATGATGACTGTGTTGCTGGAAAGTCGAATATAAAAGGACTTTTGATAAACAGCATCTTATTTGCCCATTGGCTAAATACTATTTGAGATATGCTTTATTTTTTTTGACATGCTATTCAGTTAGCAGGAGGTCACGGTATAACTTCAAATTCCCCAGTACTTACCTTCCCTACCAACTTTTGTCAGATATACTATTCAGCTGAAAGTGATTGATTTCTGTTTGGCAAAGTACTGAGGAAAATCCTTCCAGAAAAATGGGGACTGTTTTTGCATTGCATAAGCATCTCCTAGTTTATCTGTTTTTCTGCGGTTGTCCTCATATGGCGTAGGCTTTAGGGTTCCCCTTTCCCATTGGGAAAGCGTATGATTTCAAAAAGTGCATATAATTTTAATAAAAATCAAAATAAATTTTGAAACAAAAGAAAAATAAAACATAATGTCCAAAAATGTCCAATTTTCAAGAGTTTGAAAATGACTACTAAGCCTTTCCCTCTCACAGGTGACCATTTCTAGTTCTCTCAGCTGTCCTTCATATGACCTTGTTTCAGGATATCTCACTGTCCTGGCTTTTTCTTCCCAACAGTGG